CTAGTGATTTAAACTCCAAAATGGCAGCATTGACATCAGATGAATGTTGTATGCTGATTGACATCATGAACTGCGTATTCTTCATACTTTTGGCAATATTCCTTGTGTATGTATTAAGTCCATCATAAAAATTACTTCCAGCTTGTTAAACCAGAAGTGACAGATCAAACACTGTTTTCAACTCAAAAACATTATTTGTAGCACTGAAAAATGGGTAGTAAGTAATTAGATTCCATGGCTAACATTTCCAATTTTTGAAAAAGCAACAAGTAAACAAAGCAAATAGAATGCTGACCCACTGCAAAAGCATTTAAATCAGAGGAAATATTGCACAAGATGTATCAGCTCTGGTCAGGTTGCATCTTGAGTACTGTGTTCTGTTCTGCTTGTTGAATTATAAGGTGACATTAAAACCAAGTAAAAATTGAACTTCAATTATATTATTCGGTCTTTGACTTATTGTAAAAAGATTAGAGAAAGTTGAAGCTCTCTGCCTTGAAAGAAGGCTGCTGAAGGGTGACTTACAGATATATAATGAAACCAGAGTAGGGAAAGGGAACACAAATTGAAATGTGGAACTAAAGTTAGGATTGATGTCAGGAAGTTTCTTGTAGAAAGTGATCAACATGGATGTTCCAGTCGGATAATGGAAGTAACAAGCCTTCAATCATTTAAGACACAAATGTCAAAAATATGAGGGAACTGTAGAATGCTTCTAAATGGATAAGCTAAGTTGAGACAAATAGGTTTTCCCATCTGCATCTTTCTTGTGCTTTTCTAAGGGAAAGTTTTGGCTTGTGTTTTTGTGAAATATTTGGGTTCTTTCTTGTGTTGGTAAGTTCTATGTGTTTGCAGTCAATGCTACTGTACACCTCATTATTGTCTACCTTATAACTAAAGGCTGAACGGATAACAACTGATATTTTTGGACTGGAGGCCTGTGACCAATGGTGTGTCACGAGGACTGGTGCTGAGTCCACTGCTTTTTGTCATTTATGTAAATGATTCGAATTTGAATATAGGAGGAACGGTTACTAAGTTTGCAGATGTCAATAAAATTGGTGGTAGCGGACAATGAAGGTTATCTTAGAGTACAATGGGACCTTGATCAGATGGGACAATGGGCTGAGGACCATAAGATCATAAGGAATAGGAGCAGAAGTTAGGCCATTCCGCCCATCGAGTCTGCTCCACCATTCAATCATGGCTGATGACCCCATTCTCCCACTTTCTCCCTGTAACCCTTGATCCCCTTGACAATCAAGAACCTATCTATCTCCGTCTTAAATATACTCAATGACCTGGCCTCCACAGCCTTCTGTAGCAGTGAATTCCATAGATTCCACCACTCTCTGGCTAAAGAAGTTTCTCCTTATCTCTGTTTTAAAAGATCTTTCCTTTACTCTAAGGCTGTGCCCTCGGGTCCTAGTCTGTCCTACCAATGGAAGCATCTTCCCAACATCCACTCTGTCCAGGCCATTCAGTATTCTGCAAGTTTCAATTAGATCCCCCCCCTCATCCTTCTAAATGCCATTGAGTTTAGACCCAGAGTCCTCAAACGTTCCTCATATTTTAAGCTTTTCATTCCTGGCACTGTTCTCATGAACCTCCTCTGAACCCACTCCAGGGCCAGTACATCTTTCCTGAGGTATGGGACCCAAAACTGTGGACAATACTCCAAATGTGGTCTGACCAGAGCCTTATAGAGCCTCAGAAGTATTTCTCTGCTTTTATATTCAAGTCCTCTCAAAATAAATGCCAAAGTTGTATTTGCCTTCCTAACTACAGACTCAACCTGCAAGTTTACCTTGACAGAATGCTGGACTAGAACTCTTAAGTCTCTTTGTACTTCAGACTTCTGAAATTTCCCCTCATTTAGAAAGTAGTCCATACCTCTATTCTTCTTACCAAAGTGCATGATGTCACACTTTCCTACATTGCACTCCATCTGCCACTTCGTTGTCCATTCTCCCTAACCTGTCCAAATCCTTCTGCAGCCTCCCTGCATCCTCAATACTACCTGTCCCTCCATCTATTTTTGTATCAGCTGCAAACTCAGCCAGAATGCCCTCAGTTCCTTGATCTAGATCATTAGTGTACAAAGTGAAAAGTTGTGGTCCCAACACTGACGCTTACGGAACACCACTTGTCACCAGCTGCCATCCTGAGAAAGACCCTTTTAACCCCACTCTTTGCTTTCTGCCAGACAGCCAATCTTCTATCCATGCTAGCACCTTGCCTCTAACACCGTGGGCCCTTATCTTACTCAGCAGCCTCCTGTGTGGCACCTTGTCAAAGGCCTTCTGGAAGTCCAGGTAGATAACATCCATTGGCTCTCCTCATCTAACCTGCTCATTATTTCCTCAAAGAATCAGCATATTTGTCAAGCATGACCTCCTCTTGATGAAGCCATGCTGACTTTGCCCTATTTTACCATGCACTTCCAAGTATTCAGAAATCTCATCCCAGAGAAATCTCATGCCAGAGGAGTGGCAGATGGAGTTTAATTTAGATAAACGTGAGGTGCCATATTTTGGTAAGACAAAGCAGGGCAGCGCTTATACAGTTAATATTAGGGCCCTGGAGAGTGTTGCTGAGCAAAGACCTAAGGGTGCAGATGCATTGTTCCTTGAAAGTGGAGTTGCAGGTAGACAGGGTAGTAAACAAAGTGCTTCACACACTTCATTGGTCAGGTAATTAAGTATAAGAGTTGGGATGTCATGTTACGGCTGTACAGGATATTGGTGAGGCCACTTTTAGAATACTGCATTCATTTCTGGTTTCCCTGCTATTGGAAAGACATTGTTAAACTTGAGAGAGTTCAGAAAATGTTGCCTGGGTTATAGGGCTTGAGCTATAGAGAGAAGCTGAATAGGCCAGGGCTATTTTCCCTGGAGTGTCAGAGGCTGAGGGTTGACTTTAGAGGTTTATAAAATCATGAAGGGCATAGGTAAAGTGAATAACCAAGGTCTTTTTCCCAGGGCAGCAAAGTTCAAAACTAGAGGAAATAGGTTTAAGGTGAGAGGGGAAAGATTTAAAAGGGAACTAAGGGCAACTTTTTCTTGCAGAGGGTGGTGCACGTATGGGATGAGCTGCCAGAGAAGTGATGGAGGCTTGTACAATTATAACCTTTAAAAGGCATCTAGATAGGTATATGAATCGGAAGGGTTTCGAGGGATATGGGACCAGATTAATGTAGGCTATCTGGTCGGCATGGACGAATTGGACCCAAGGGTCTGTTTCTGTTTCGTACAATTGTATGACTCTATGATATACGGAACAAAAGAAATACCGCAGCTGTTGGAAACTATGTTGTCTGAACTAAACTTTATTTAAAAAAAACCGCTGGAAAAACATAGCAGGTCAGGCAGCATCTAGGGAGAGAAACGGAGTTACAGTTGCAGTCGACTGACCTTTCTTTCATCATTGACTTGCTGAGTTTCTCAGCCTGTTGAAACTGACATACTGAATGTTCAAGGGAATAAATCTTCACCAAGCACATGGCCAGCAGCAAACAATCGGAGCTCCAATTTAGAAGTTATGTGGTACCCAGCATTCAATCAGATCATACAAAATTGATGAACATGGACGGACACAATTTTAAAAATGCACACTGCGTTCAGAGTTAGTTTAAAACGTCCTTTAAATATTTAAACCATAGGATCGTACTGGGAAAGAAAAGAGAGGCGAGAATTTTTGGAAGGGGAATCTAATTCTTTCAAACAGCATTCTAAGACTGCCACAAAGATGTACACACCAGAATCTTGATACAAGAAACACTCCATTGTAAATTGAAACCACAGACTCGAAAAGAAAAGCAAACCAGCAGGTTTCCAAGTCTGCCCAGGCTGGTAAACTCCATCGGAAAGGAGGGGGAGTGCAAGGGTTATACTTCCAAACAAATTACATAATTTAAAAATTGTACACATACTTGCATTTCGCAACATAGTAAAGATACATTGAATTCTTTCTCCTGTCACATATTTTACGAAATCTTTTATGAATTTCTTAAACCCTCAAAAAACGTCAATCGCGTATCCCTTTTCTGAATTGTAAATAAAATGTTCCCAGAACTAAAAGAAGTGGAGTGGACTTTTTTGCGTGTCTTGGATCTGCAGTTTTTTTTTGGCTGAGAAACTTCAGTGCGGGGGACATCACTATGACGGTAGGAAGAGCGACAGGGAGAGCGAAATAAATTAAGCGGAGGTTGGTGATGCCGAGCTCGGAGTTTGAAAGACTGTCGCCTTCAGGGGGAAAAAAAATAAAGCTGAGGAAGGTAAAGAGTTGTTTGTATATGAGGCGTTGGGAAAGAATGAATGGGACTGAATGACAATGATATCAATGTTAACATTAACACAATGAGAATACAGAGGATAAGGCAACATGAGGGTGGGATATTTGTAGTTTAGGAGAAACAAGCGAGGAAAGTTCACTATAAACACATTAGCGTTGATTTAAATGGAAGAATTATGTTATAGACAGGGACCACAGATCAGACACATTCTGTGTTTGTGCGGATGACAGAGCAGGGTGGAACTCTAGGAGCTTGGAGGAAGGATTCACATTTTAGATTTTTCGCACACAGTTAATACTGAGTGGGAAAGCTGATCAAATAGTCCAAACAAAAAAAAGAGTCTGGATTTTCCAACTATGTTTTTGTGTTCACGAGAGCAAGGCGTAGATGAGGTTGCCATGGTTATACAGCTTGTGTTTTAGCCAGAGATCCAGCCCGGGTTTTACATTGATCCTTTGTGGCTGCAATTCAAGCTTTTTTTTCCCCGAGAGAAAGCAGTGAGTCCCGGGATTCGCCTTTGGAGAGGGAACTGCATTAGGGAATCTCAGTGGAGGAAAGTTTTTGTCTTGTTTATGTTTGGAGGGAGAGAAGCAGTCTCGCAGTTGGATTTTTTTTGGGGGGGTAGGGGATTGATGTGGGTAGTATTTTTTTAAAGGTTTTGAGCGGGGGGGGGGGGGGTGGTGGTGTGGGAAGTTTGCGGCAGAGTTTGAAGAAAGTTTTTTTTACCCCCTTTTTTTGCACATCCAGATTAGTTTCCTTCGTCATGGCGAGAGGGGGAGGTGGATGTGTTGAGCTGGGAGCTGGACTTTCCGTGGGGTTGTGTGTATGGGTGCCCCGCTCACTGAGCTCCTTGTTGCTGCTCGTGCCGCCGGCCTTGCTGGTCCTGCTCCAGCTCCCTGCCGCTGCTGCCGCCTCAGAAGCCGGAGACTTCTCCATCCTGGACGAGGCGCAAGTTCTCGCGAATCAGATGCGCGTCCTAGCTACCAGGGAGCTCGGAGTCTTCAACATGCAGGTAGGAGCGTGCAGTTCTCCTGATGGACAGTCCCTCTTCCCTCTCTGCAAAACCCATACCCACCTGAATGAGGCATCCTCACGCCAAGAAATGAACCTTCCAAGTTGCGGGGGAACCTGTTCCCTATAACCCTTCAGTCTTGTTGCATCCTCTCATCTTGGGCGCCCAAGTTTCTTCCTAAACTGTATACTCAACCTTATGAATTCCCAGTGAAACTGTCTTTGCCTGCTTCAGTTAATAAGTGAACTGGTGTATTGCTAATAATTGTTTGGGCGGGCTAGATGCTGGCGCCTGCTGTGATATTGATTTATATTAAAAAAATTAGGATAGCTCTGTATCTATTGCAATCAGTTCCCCTTCTAATTGCTGTCCATCATTGATCATCCAACTTCTAATTTCTAAATCTGCCGATTGCACTTTATATTCACCGTTACCAGCTATTGTTAAGTAGCCCCCTTCAGACACCCACTGCTTCGTTTCTCCTTGAATGCAAGCTGTAAATTCTTCATTCACATCGACGTGCCACGTTTCTTTTGTCTTATTCCATTCGCTATCGCCTTTCCAGCCAGTATTGTCTTGTTCTTAATTTATTTGCCAAATTCCATCACTGTTGATTATTCATGTTATGCAAGTTATATGCTTGTAATTTGTATTCTAGTTCAGTCTTCACACCAAGATGCGGATTCTTCATTTCAGTTTTCCTTCTTGATCATAATCTGTGTCCAGAATAGACATTTACACTTTAAATGTTTTCGTCTCACACCATGCTCCCAGGTTGAGGATTAAACGATTTGGGGATCATTGGTAACCTATCAGTGCCTCTGACCTGTGCCTTCCTTATTCTATTAACCCACTACAGGCTTCATGTCAGTGATTGATTTTTTTTTTCTCAGTGTTTCAGTAGTTAAACTCTCATCCTTTCCATTTTTCTTCAGCTCAACTTGTAGCACTAATTTGTAATTTCAATAAAAGTGTAGTATCATTTCAATACAAAAATCTTTACTTTTGTCTTTTAAAACCTCAATTTGTATGTTGAATTGTGTATGCTTTCAAAATAATGCTTCATGGCTCTTTAAAGCTTACTCCAAGAGACAATCTCAGGGTTAAATTCATTTCATTTTTACTTCTATTCCTTGCCCACAGATACCTGTGATAAACATAATGGGTGGTATCTTAAGCCTGTGTGGGGCTGACAAAAGGTAAAAGCAAATGGTCCTTGCAGTCAAGGAGGTGTTAAATATGCTCGGACTGTGTGCCCTTCTAAGATGTGGGAAAGTTTTATCTAGCTGGGGGTGGGGGGGGGGGGGGGCTTCATTACCTCTTTTCATTGTTTTTGTTACTGGGTTAGATTCCAGTAAATATTAATTTATTTTTAAAATAAAAATTGGTTTTTCATTTAATGGAAAAGATGAATTTGAGTTATTCCAGTACTTAGGTGGTCAGTGCATTTGATATGATATTTTACAGAGAATATTAATCCCAGAACTGATTTCTGGTTTGAGTGCAGTTGACTGATCACAATAGGGGAACTGGAAGTGGAGGGAAGTGAATCAGAGTTGCTCAGTATTTCAAAACCAGAGTGGCAAATCAACAGCGTTCTAGCTTCTAACTGATGTTGAGTGTCCGCAACTGGGAAATGTGGATATTGGGTGAGGTGGCCTTGTTTGTGCGATAGACAAACAGGAGGCTGGAAGAACACAACAGGCCAGGCAGCATCTGAAGGAAAGGAGCAGTCAACGTTTCAGGTATTACCCTTCTTCAGGACTGTTTGTGTGATGTCTTGTGCTGTACCATTGGCTTTTTGACCTGCCTGTGTGGTAAAATTGTACATAATGGAGAAAAGGCTTATTTATTTCTCTCAGTCACATCAATTCGAGGTGTGAATGGGGCAGGCGTGAGGAAAGCTTACAGCTGATGACCTGTATTCCTGACTTTAGTGATTCATACAGCACCTCACCTTCCTTTTGTGCGTTTGCTTTGCAGCTTTAACTTTTAAATTGCCAGATGCATGAAGTTACAAGTGCAGCTCTTGTTCAAATGTATTTAACCAACTTTTTAAGGATTGCATGTGTTTTTTTGACAATTTGTAGTAATGTGAGCCCTGAACCATCTTGGTTTCTTCGGATGTTTATGGAGGCCATAAATTTAATTTAATTTATTTATACAGATGACCGTTGTACTTACATAAATAATGGTTTGTGTGAACATGTGTTGGAAAGAATCCACGAGGATTTGTAAGTTTCTGTAATCATTTTGCAAATATTTTTAGTTTTGTTTTCTCCTGTTCTCCAAACAAAAGCAAAATAAAAGTTCCAAAAGCAGTGATTGGTTTTGTAACTGCAAGGAACTGCTTGGCATCTTGACCAAGTGGCAGTTTTCAAATGCAAACCTTGGTGGGGTTGTTGCCAAAGCTATTTGATGTGGTACAACATTGCAGCCGTGCTTAGACCCAGTTTTCACCTCATCTGCACTTTAGCATTAGAATTACTTGGATAGAAATCAGCATTAGGAACTCTGGATGATTTTACATTCCAGGGTCTTCTGTTGTTCTGGCTGAGATCAGCACAGCCTAAGAACTAAAACTGGAACCTTTTGCTCTGAGTGCTTTAGCATTAAATATTAGTAATGCAGTTATTCATAAAAGCCACTGACGTAGCAATTCTCTCCTTCAAGACTTAGTTTATAATGTAGATGCAGTTCATTGTAAATATTACCCACCAGATGGTCCAGCATTAGAGAGCGTGCCTCTAAAACATTCCTGAAAATGGTTCCTGAGATAACGAACTTCATTTATGTAGAGATTAGGGAATTTCAGACTGTTTTTCTTGGAGAAGAGAAAGTTAGGAAGAAATTTGATGGAGCATTCTAATCAGATAAGTTGGGGACAGAACTGTTCCCATTGCTGGGAGAATTGAGAATGAGACGACATAGATTTAATGAATTGGCAAAAGAAGCAATAGAGACGTGAGAAGAAACGTGCACATGCACGAAGTGGTTAGGATCGGAAATCTGCTGCCTGACAATGTCTCATTTGAACCTGTCTCTACCACATTTGGGAGGGGATTGGAGTAATATCTGAAAAGGAAGAATATGCGGTGTTACAGGGAGAAGACAGGGAGTGAATAACACAAGCTGATTTGTTCAGTTGGAGACACTGCACAGGCATGTCATGTCAAATAGCCTCCTTTTGTGCTGTAACAGTTCTGAGATTCTTGTATATTTTCTGTTTTTAACAGTATGTTTAGTTTACAACATAGTCTTGAATATATAATATTTACTGAACAATGTGACTATATAACTGCTTTTAGAGAAAAATACGTTTTCTCTAATTATTTTGATAGGAAATACACCTTTTGCTTTGGTTTTCCTACATATATTTTGATATGAATGAACAAGAAATTAATGCTTTTTAATATTGTCAAACTGCACACACACAGTGTTAGCCTTGGCATTTGGTCAGAACATGTGGGTACATCTAGGTTTGAAGAGTGAAACTGCTTCAAATACTTTGTTGCCTCAAGGCTACATCATTATTTTGTAAACACTTCAAAATAAGTTACTTTGTAGTTGATGTTACAATGGTACACAAGTGAGTGTTACACACAGTTGGTAAAGTTAATTTAATCAAGCCACACATACTGTAAGATTTCAGGTTCATCTCCACACTCAATCTGTACTGAGTTAGCTAATCTCAGTTTGAGCAAGCATTGTGTTGAAAATTTCACATTGGTGTGTTTGAGCTAGGCCAGTATTTCCAACTTTTGATCAATATCTAGCAATGCGTACCATAAAGTGAGGATGCTGGGAGACGATTAGGGTTAGCTGAACTTTATTCCATGTTCAAATCACTTGACAAGCCAAATTTGTTTAGATTCATCTGTGAAAATTGTAATGATGAAATGGTCTACACTTACCCTAGAACCCTGTGAAAATGTCTGTCAGCATGAGTCAGTGTTTTCAGGAGATAAGGAAATGTGAAAGGAAGTGTCCTCTCGGGCACAAATGAGATTGAGGGATGGCTAGAAATGTGTTTAATTTTCTACCCTAAGCCACACAATGCAGGGAAGTTCATGGATGGAGATCAACTAGTTGTTGTGTCTAGTTGAGGACAGTAGGTGGGGTGGACTGGCTGCCCTCTTTTCCCTCTCTTTTGACTGTAACAAGAGATTTTGAATTTTAAAAGGATTGGCTTGCCAATTCTTTGTGTAATTATCTCTTTTAAAAGAAAAGGATGAAGAATTAGCGAGACAGGATCACTTCAGTTAAAACAAGGAAGTGATTTGCTTTATTGCACTAAAACCCACTCGGATAAAACTATTAAAAAAAAGATAATTCCTGACTTCTGTAAGTTGTGTGCAAACACACTAAACCAAACATGCAAAAATACGGATTACACAGTAGAGGTGGTTAAATTTGGCCAAGTTAAAGTTCAGTACGTAAAAGAAAGTAAGAGTACACAGGTTGTTGCTGGCTTCTCTACTGAAATTGATACTAGCCATTGGTGCAGCAACAGATTATTTGGTTTGTTGCTCCTGAGGTTGTGTTTTGTGAAGGAGAGATAACAAAATCGACTTGAGAAATCCAAATCTTTCATTGAAGAATTAATGCCTCAGGTTCCCAGGTTGCTCAGCTGACTAGTTTGGTTAGTGTGCTGCTGTGCCAAATGGGCTAGGAATGTCCCCATTTCATCACCAGGATTGTGCTGAGTTAGCCAATCTCAGCCAGAGCAAGCAAAAGGGAGTGAGATTTGCCATTGGCACAGATGGCAGAACAATAAACAAGATGCTCAGAGTTTTGCTCCTGATCTCTAATTGTTCACAGTGATACTTAATAGAAAGTGAGCATGTGTGGCTTGCAAAGAATCAGCATGGTTGTGATGTTTTGAGGGATGGATAGCCTGCTGACAGTCCTTGTCCAGATTTGTACCTGAAATATAGTCACTTGTGTGAGATAATGCAGAGTGGCTGGCACTGTGGACAATATCCCAGGATAAGAACATT